AAGCAAAATTGAGTTACAGCTCCCGCCAGTCAGAGGGCTGTAAAGAAGAGGGTTTGTAGCTCAGTGATGAGTAAGAGTTACATTTTCAGCATTCTGGGCAGGGGAACAAAGAAAATGCCATTAAAGGTGGGGTGTGTTGTATCCTGGAAGCCTCAGGGTCGCTGAGACATGCTGGATTCTACTCATCTGGTGTGAGGAGGGTCGTCAGTTCAGCCCGCAGTATCCAGTATGTGCAGATGCAATGGCATGGCCCAGAGAGAGGGCGAGAGGACTTTTTCTTTGATGGTCTAGACTTAATGTAGTCATACTTTTATTGAGAGGTATGCACATTCATATATGAGTCCACAAAAGCACAGGTAACTCACTTACGCTTTCTCATTATCCTTCTTAAAGCCCATCAGGTATGTAACTCAGACCTCATATTTGTATGTAGTACCATACCTAAGTGTAGGAGGTACTCAGTAATTGAGCAACCCGTTGAACTTTGCCCACAGGACATAATACTGCCCCAGAGGGCATTTTCTACTATTCTTCTCATTCCCTTTCCAAGAAGATTATTAATTGCTGAGGCCCTGGGGAAGAAGCCGGGGCAAAAGGAAATCATGAACATCTTGATGGCATTGTAGAACAAGTTAGACACAGGGGCCTTTTCAGTTAGGAGTCTTTTGGTTCCAAGCAACTGAAATCAGCTTTACCTAGAAGAACTCAGGAGGGAGAAGTTTGTATTATAAGACTTTGGGGTAGAACATGATCTTCAAGGGCAGGGAAGGAACCACCACTGGGCTTGGGTTTGAATCCAAACATGTCATCAAGATTCTTCCATGTCTTGTCTCGGCTTCTCTTTATGTATCTAGTCTTCCCCTCTTTCTTGTTGTAGTCTTTCTTTTATAGTTCACATGACTGGAAATAACCACCCACATGTTCACTCTGGAGACCAGGCTGACCGAAGCTAGGGGTTCTTGGTATCTGTTCTATACTCCCAGGAAAGAGACTTTAGCCCATCTGGGTCAGATGCCCTATGTGTTTTAGTTAATCATAGCCAGGGACCTACTCCTGTTGCCAAATGGATAGTGTATGGGGCAGGAAAACTCCCAGCAGAGATTCTACACATATAGCCCAGTTGGTGGCTATTCCTTCTGCAAAACTAATGCTTCAAGATGTTCCTTCCCAGGCGCCTGGGTGTCTCAGTCGTTGGGCATCTGCCTTCGGCTCGGGTCATGATCTCGGGGTCCTGGGATCGGGTCCTGCATCGGGCTCCCTGCTCCTTGGGAGCCTGCTTCTCCCTCTGCCTCTCTCTCTCTCTCTCTCTGTCTCTAATGAATAAATAAATAAAATCTTTAAAAAAAAAATGTTCCTTCCCTTCCCTAGGAATGTCAGAAAGAATTGAGAAAGGATACAAATATCCAAACAAAGCATTCAGGATACACTTTCTTAAGAGACTAATGAAAGATGCTACTAAGATAGGGGGCTTAGAGGTGGCCTTGTGACATGAACAATTCATGCAGAGGGTCAGAACATCCCGTCTGTTAGTCCCTTGGAATATGCCCTTTTGTCCATCCTCATGGCCATTACCTTCTTTGAAGTCCTCATCCTCTTCTACCTCAACTACTCAGTGACCTAACTATTTAGCCTCCCTACCTCACAGACTCCCTATTTTCACTCCTGTCCATTTCCTGCAGTGCTTTCAGAGACTAGGATTCCTAAAATTCCAGCTTGGCATGTCACCTTCACTCTTGAAAATGTTAACAGCTCTTGTAGCCCTAAGAAGTCCATATGCTTTGCTCTACTCTTCAAGATACCAACCAGTGGTTTTGGCTTCACTTCCTCATCATGCACATCAACCAGAAGGTATATCCTAGGTTTGTTCAACTCAGCTAACAGGAAGGGCAATAGAATCAGACCCCTGGATTCAAGTCCCCTCTCATAGCTAACTGACTCTGTGACAGAGGACAAAGTACTTAGTTTCCTCCTTTCTAAAATAAAAATTAAATATAATACCCACACATAAGTTTGTGGAAAGAATGAAATGAAATAGCCCACTGTTTAAAGTGCTTTAAATGATGCCTGGAATATGATAAGGATGCAGTAAATACTACCTATGATCATCATCATTAGCATCACCAATAAAATTAACACCTTGGTCAAACAAATAAGCCACCAGTTTGATTCCTAGACCTCCAGCTCTCATAAATTCCAAATTTTGCTATCTTACTCATTTCTCTGAATCCAAATTGAACATATTCTTTTAGTATGGCCAAAAGGAAGCTGGGAACTCTGGATATAATGAATAAAATGCTGCCTCATTAATGAACCCTTAATCATGCCTTTCTCAGAGGCACCTAAAAGAGAAGAATAAATGTTTTTTTAGAAATAATGTCTTTTTTTTCCTAAGCAGAGTAGTTGGAACATTCCAGTTCTTGACCTTGGGCTGCCTGCACAGAAATCCAAGGGCAGAGGATATGGACCCAAGATGGCTGCTACTAGGTCTCTGGAACACAGGGTCTGAGCTGTAGCACCTAGCTTGTCTCCACTGTCACAGGGGAAGGATGTGGCAACCCTGTAATTCATTACCAGTGGAAATAGAACATCATTGAAGAGATAAGGGCAACAATGGCCTTCTATCCAGTGATAAATTACTAACAGTCGCATTATTTTCCCTTATTTATATATGGGTCTCTTTATTGAATTTAGGTGGAGATAAATAAACGATCTGCCAAGTGTCTGGTTAATATTACTTCTCAGGGACTCATTTTAGGCCCAACTAGACTCCTACTGATAATATCTGTAAGCTTTTTGGGAGGGAGAGACATAACATTTGTTTCTGACAAGAACCCTCTGTTTGCCTTATCTGTTTCATTTGAGAGGCCGTCGACCCCTAGCTTCTTTGGTTAAAACAAACTCTTTCCAGCCATGGAGGAGTTCTTGAACTTGGTCCTCGCCACACAACGTGACTGGGTGTCCTGCCTGCAAATCTGAGGTCCTCTGTCATCTACAGTCAGACTTAGTGCTTCCTGTTGGCCACCAGGAGACAATGAGGGACATGGTGCTGGGTTTCTCCCCTAATGCATCAAGACAAAGATTCACTTTACAAATTTGAATACTCTTTCCTGGTCAGAATTGAGAGTTTTTTCTTTTAATCACAGCATTTACTTTTTTTTTTTTTTTAATTTAAGGAGATATTGATACACATGGGTTTAGAAATATACAGCTGGTCTGTGGCAATGAAAATTAGCCCTAAGCCACATTAAAGAAAAAACCAAATAACCCAAAGTTTCCACCAACATGCTGCAATAGGGCTGTAAACTCAGAAACCCTCTTTATTTTCAGGATCTGCCATTATCACACTCTGACACTCTGCACCATAATGAAGGCCTTTTTCTACATGGGCCTAAGGAACCTCTACTCCTTTGTCAGCCATTTCAGAGGTAACAGCCTCTGAGAACCTTTCTCTGGTCCTAGGTCTGTGTCTCCAAACAGCTAATTGCTCTACCGGGCCTCATGTTGTTGGCACCCATCACATTGCTTTGCTATGTTTACCTGCTCCTTCTCATCCCAGACAGTGAGTTCCTGATACCACATTCTCTCTGTATCTTCAGGGTTTAGAAGAGGGTTTGGCATGGAATAGGTGCTTAGTAAATATCCCTAGATCATTGTAAACTATAATGGGACAGTGTTTCTCTCCCTGGAGTACTGGTCTTAGTTTTCTTTCTTTGGTATTATTTATTATTTGAGAAAGGCATCTCTGTCTCACCAAACTGTAATTTCTTTGAGAGCAGAAATTGCCTCTCTCTCTCTATATATATACCACTTCCAGTGCCTAGCACAGTGCCTGACATTTAGTTGGCACTCAACATATGATTACCGAGTGAATGAATGAAAGACACTGGGGCTTGGAATTCAAGGCCTACGCCTGTGGGACAGTGTCACCATACTACGTAAGTACCGCATAGAAGACTGCACATCTGAGTCAAGCTTGGTTCAAATTCCAGCTCCAACATAGCCCTCCGGGAGAGACAAAGACACAAAACAGAACAAAACACAAAACTTAACCTCTTTGTACCCAATTTAATCATTTGTAAATGTGAGAAAAATCTTAGGGATGTTGATAAGAATAAATAACCAATGGTTCTGAAAGTTTCTACTTCACTTAGAGGCACTATTTTGATGTCCTTTGACTCATGTCCTATCCTTGACTGCTTCCTTGATCATTAGTTAATAGCCGGTGAAACAGGTCCAGGTGAGGCTCAGGAAGAAGTTCTGGACCCTGGGTGGCTCTCAGCTTGCAGGAGCCATGGTACCTAAATGAGAGAATGAGCTGGAAAGAGGCTATGTTGCTATGGCAACAAGATCTATCCTTGGTCCCTTCAGCTGTGCATATTCCCTGATGAAGGTCTTGAATGGGCTGTCCTTGTTTTGACCATCAGTGGGTCCTTTTTCCTGGAATCCTCCTCATCTCATCCCACATGGCCCATTCATTCTCTCTCTCTCTTTCTCTCTGACTTTTTCTGCCCCTTCTTTGATCCTCCAGTTGAGCTAGGTGCCAGTTTCCAGCTGGGATTGAATAGAGCAAGAAAACCCTTCTAAATCATTGGTGGGTAGGTACAGTTTGGGAGTCTGGCAACTAGTGATGTAGCAACATTCTTTGCATCATCCCCCCCTCGCCCCCAGTCAGTGTGCTGAGTTTTGTCTAAACCTTTCTCTGTGTCCTGCATGCATCTAACCCTCTCTCATCTGCTGCCACCCAACCTCATGCAGGCTCACTACATTGCTCTGAAATCGCTGAAGGCACTCTGGCTAATGAGCTAACTTCTGGCTAAAATTCAGTTTAAACTCTGAAATCCTTCACATTGCTACCAACATTATTTTTTTTTAAAACCAAATTGGGAGCATTATACTCCTTTATCCCATCCCTTGAATGAGTTTCTAATTCTCCCAGTTAAATTTCATATGCTTCATCCTGAGATTTAATGCTCTGAATATAACGTGCTTTAACTCAGCTTTCTAGCCTCATTTCCCTCTGAATCCTACTAACCACCAACTCTGACATCCCCCTTGACCCCTTTTCGGGGATAGGGAACATGGAACACTGCCTCTGTCTCCATCCTTCTTAATCCGCATTTATGCTCTTTTATGTATACCTTCTTTGGAATTTTAAAGTCATGATCACCTTCTATTATCACCTTCTCTAGGAAATTTTCCTAGAGTCCCACAATTGAAATAATTTCCCTTCAACTTTGCTTCCAGGGCAGTTTGACTGTGGCACCTTTTAGCCCATCACAACTTGTGTGGTTTCCAGAGCTATACTTAACTGTAGTGTCTCCGTCAGGTCAGGCTGCTATCACAATACCATTGACTGAGGAGCTTAAGCAATAAACATTCCTCCACACAGTTCTGGAGGCTACGAAGTCCAAGGTCAGAATGCAAGCAGATTTGATGTCTGATGAGAGCTCTCTTCCTGGTTTGCAGATGGCCAGTTTTTCAGTGCATCTTTACCTGATAAGGAGAAAGAGAGAAAGGTCATCTCTCTCCTGTCTTTTTTTTTTTTTTTAAGGACACTAATCCCATTCATAAGGGCTCCACCCTCCTGACCTAATTACCTCCCAAAGGCTCCACTTCCAAAACTGTCACAGTGGGGTTTAGATTTCAACATAGGAACTTTGAGGAGACACATTCAGTCTATAACAAGTATCTATCACTTCAACCAGGGAATGAGTTTCTTGAGGACAGTCTTGTTTCCACGCTATCCCTCAGCTCAGAGTCTAGGACACAGTGTTAATGTCTCTATGGGAAATGAATTTTAATAGTTTTCCCATAGATATCCTTTTCCCCTTTTATTGCCAGTTCCTTTTAAAGAGCTACTTATTATGGAAATTTTCAAAGTACACAAAAGTTGAGAGAATAGTTTGGCAAACCATGTATTCATCATCCAGTTTCAAAAATCTTGTCCATCCTTTTAAAAGCAAAACTCTTCTGCAGACAAAGCCTTTGGTGGTGAGGGGCATAAAGACACCATTCTGTAGTGCCCAATTAATTCAAATCAAGTTTGAGCAGAGTTTCCTCCCCCAGAATAACATCAATAGGACTCCCAGTGAAAGGATGTCTTCCTAAGGCAATTCTGAAGACAAAAACGCAATATAAGAACACACTTCCCAATAATGTGAAGATGTATGACTCTACTAAATACGAATGTTCCCTTAATGTACTATAAAAAAATAAAGATGTTTGGCTAGATTTATCAACCTGCTCCAAGAGCAGAATTAAGTTTCCATGCTACATTTTTTCTACTTATTTAAAAACACCTGAGTTGTTATATAGCTAGTCAGACAACCGTTTCGTTATATAAGTATAATACATGTCTGCCCTGAAGATATATGGTTTTAAACAAAGCCTTCTGTGTTCTCAGACCTGTGGGATAACTTGTAAGCAATGACTCCTAAGGATTCAGATGTGGGTGCAATTAGCTACATGTTAAAACATTACTAACGATTTTAATAAATTAATAATAAGATATTTAATGTACTAGAGGTTCTGACTATGTTCTCACAAAATGAAATTAAAGCCAACTCAAAATTTTCAATTTATGCAGCTTGGAAATCTAATGACAAAGCAAGCTGGGGACAGAAATCTTTATTCTCAATGGAATGGATTACCCCAGGAGATTCATAGTTGGTGATAATGAGTGCATGTGCATATTGACATGTCATTATATCACATTCTCATTTTTGAAACATGCAAATTCATGATCTAAAGTTCCAACAAATAGTGCATGAGGAAAGGTTTTTCTCATGTCTTTGCTCCTTACATAAGCTGTTCACCAGTGTTGCCTGCAGCTTCTCACCTGGGTATTTCACAGGCCATGAGATGATTGAAAACAATCCAATACAGAGTGCTATAACAGTGACCTGCGCCTGCCTAGCTCCTGGAGGGAGTAAGGCAGAAGGCTGGAGAAGGCTAGTGAGAAGCTACAATATCGTGAAGGTGAAAAATCAGAAGGAATGCGGTTTCATCACCTCTTAGAGCCAACTATAAACTCCGTTTATGATGGAACCAGGGGATTTGGAATAAGCCAGCCAAGTAGACAGCAGCTGCTTCTCCCAAAGGCTTCCATAAATCTGGATTGGTGGAGTATTAATTTGTTGGCTTTTTAAATTTCTTCTTTGCTTTCTCAGTGTGAGCCCAAGAGGAAGTTGGAATATCACATTTCACAGGGAAAGTCATTCCAAACTAATCTTAGCAGCTCTAACTCAACCAATAATCGTGCTTATGAACATAGCACACATAGCACAGTGTAGATTCCTCATGAGCCTTCATCAACAACTAATTGATTTGCTTAAGTTGAAGTAATGAATGATCAGTCTCTGCTGGCCTTCTCTCCAGTTCTCAATCTCTCCTGATCAGGACTGACATATCAATGTAATGAACAACCTCCATTCTCTTATCTTCCAGCCATAGAAAACACCGTCACTTCCAATTAAATTCTACATGATTTATGGAAACCCACGAGCTCACTTGCCTTAATTCTTCCTTCTCCTGCCCATGTGATCCTATTAAATTTCTTCCTTAAAATCTAGTGCTCCCTACTCTGAAATGGCATGGGTTGTTGTGTGCAAAAAAGTTGGGAAAAAGAATGGCTAAAGGAAGTCTGAAAAACAGTAATAGCTTCCTACCACTTAATGGGCAGTACCATGTTCCGAAAAAATGCACTGGACACTTTAGTAAGGAGTGTATTCATTATCTTATTAAATCCTACGAATTTCTATAATCCCCCCTCGAAAGAGGGCAGACTGTCCCTGTTTTGTATATAGATGAGAAATAGACATGGAGAGATCATGTGACTTTTCTAAGGTTCCATAGTAACTGGCAGAACTGAAGCAAGGAGTGTCTGGCATGTTGTTGACAGACAATCAGGTTACTCATGATTACTAATCTTGACCCATGCTGTGGTTGGGTATCCATGGTGTATACTTCTGGAAGCCCATGAAAATACTATTATTTCCTAAAACCATTTTTAATAGTTCAAACACAGAAATAATTCGTGCATTTCCCAATGAAATGGTGGCACAGTATGACAAAACATGTTAATTTTCTTTGTTTGGGCTGGAATTTTATTAACTGAGAGCAGCAGTTCTGGTTATCCATGCTAGTTAGAGTTCTAGCAAGGTAAAGGAAGTCTTATTAATGCAGTTTGAGATTCAAATAAGCCAAACAAACAAAAGGAAGTTTAGAATATGGGTTCATTGGACAGAGGAATGACAATAACAATGGGAATATTTGGTCTTGTAGTGAGGAGAACACTGTTTTGTAGAGACAGGGAAGATCTATGTGCAAACTCCAGACACATGCAAACTTGTAAACCTAAATGGAATGCTTTGGCCTACATGCTGCTTTCTTTGTATCTCCCAGGAATTCTGGGAAGATACCAAAATGAGTGGGTTAGGTCAAGGTATCATCTAAACAGTGAGTTTTAAGCTGGACTTGAATAAAGAGTGGGAATTGAGTCAGAAAACGAATTGACTATGTGTTTCCATGCAGAGGAGCATAAACATAGTACAATAACAATCTCACCTGTTCATCATAATCAGGTGGCAAGCATGTGCTAGGTCAGGCGCCAAACTAGATGCCAAGTGTAGAAATGAAAAAGTCAAGGACTATCACTTGTAGAGCCTAAGTCTCATAAAGAAGGCTGAAGCATCAATAAAACAATTTAGTATGGAGTGATTAAGGCCATAAGAGAAACACATACTCAGCAAGGCAGGGACATAAAAGAGGGAGTTAAGTAAGACTTTCCTGACCTACCCAAGCTGAGTAAAACATGTGAGCTCCTTCTTGAAAGGTGACTGGGAATTGGACAGGTGGGAAAGGAAAAAAGAGGGGAAGCCACTCATCATCCTGAGACATCACAGTGGATATGGATATTCAGTGAATTCAACTCTGTTTTCAAATCATTTAATAAGACACTTATTCTCCAGTTGAGTCAATGGAAGATATATGCAATTTAATAAACTGAGCTTATTGCAGTCACGAACCTTGCCTTTGTATCTTTGCATCCCTGAAGGACTGACTTGGATAGAGTAGCTGCTCGATAATTTTTTTTTTTTTACTCTTGGTTGGGTGTAAGGACATCCAGAATATGCGGTACAGTGAAGAGCATCAGAATTTTCTGAAATGTATTGATACTCAAGTCTTAAAGGACAGTGATGTCACAGAACTGATTACATTTGTAGGAAATGATGGTGGGGAGGGGGCTGTGGGTAAGCAGTGGCGATAAGCATTGATGTGGTCACCAGTTGGCCCCAACAAAGCAATTATTTATGTTGGGGCTATAGTTAGTTTGGTTCCAAAGGGCAGGGCACAAGAGTGAATTATGGTGTAATATCTTATTAAAAGAAACTCTCAAGAACAAGAGAAAAAGATTTGAATTTCACCAGCGTGGGTCTACGCTGAGAGCTCTGGTAGAACAACAGGTGATGGTTCTTGTTTTGACTTGGCAGCCATCCTACAGAAACTGTGACTTAATGATATTTTACTGCCTATGTCCCATACAAATTGGTCTCTTCAATCTCATCTTCCCAGAGTGGTTTCTTACTAAGCATTGCATCCTGCAAGGCTCAAACCACAGAAGTGCTTGATGACTGCTCTCTGGGAACATGCATTCTTCTTGAAGTCATGTGAAGCCATGACAGAAGATAAACTTATGAGCAACTTTTACATGTACTCTGATATAAAATCCTAGACATTTTTCTAAATATGGACAGGTTTTGGGGGGGCATTAAAAAACATTGAAATGATTAGTAGCTTGGGGGAAACATTGCTTTTCCCTAGGGTGGACTAGAGCATCACTGAAATGAAGCCAGGGAGTATCTTTAGGTTTTACTTCATTAAAATAACTAATGTTTATTTGGAGATGCAGAGGTTAGTTGCACCATCTCGGAGAGTCAGGCACATACATATATAATCAAGAGAGTGTCAACCACTAACACAATACCACTTTGATGTCTGAGGGATCCTGTTTCCATTTTCAAATCCTGTGCCTTCTTAGAATTTTCTAGAGCCCACCCTATTACCAACTTGAAGACTCATGCTTGAATATTAACAGATTTAATAGTTAAGTTTTCTTAGTTGTCTGAAGACCCAACTTGGGACCTCATGGTATTTTCCTTCCCTGCTGGCCACCAACCCTAATCCTTAGGATTCTCTAAGTTGCACCTCCTTCTGGAAGCCTTCCATCATGCATCCTGTGAATCCCTTTAGCACACAGAGACTGGCTTTGAATGGGAACTGTCCTCTCTCTGATTCTGTCATGTCTGTATAATCTTTGCCTTCAACTAGACCACAAACCTTTGTAGCCACAGGCACATTTTCTCCATCTTCTGTGTCCTCCGCCATCTCCATCCCAGAGCAGACCATGGAATAAGCACACAGCAGGGACCAGCGGTGATCCTGTCCCATGCACAATGACATAAATGTAGAAAAGCATAAAGGAAACAAGCATATATCGAATACTTACCGTATGCTAGGTCTTGGTTCAGGTTCTTTACATACATTATTAATTTTTATTAGCAACGCTGAATGTTAGTACTCACATTTTAGAGATGGGAAAGCAGAGCCAGGGAGTGTTCATAAGTGGAAGAACCAGTATTTAAAGAGTGGTCAGCCTGACACCAAGGCTCTGACTTTCTTCTCAATCCTAAGCCGTCTTTCTTCCTGACCAGGGGCCGCTCAGACTCCAGACTGTAGCTAATATACTGCAGAGAGATAGAATATAAGGGATAGAGTGTTAAATAAGTCTATGCTCACTGCTTGACACTATTCCTCTACTACCACTGCCCATGAGATGTCTTGATATGAGGCCTATGAAGTGAAGCTGGAGCGGTAAATTGTATAACTTACTATCACAGGTGGAGCAATTATTATTATGGGGCCCATTTTAAGTGATATACTTGCTCTCACAGTCTCACTCATGGCCACTTCTTCCAATTAAATACAATCAGCGAGGAGCAAGAACCAGAGGAGAGGAGATGTGGCCTCAGAAGGATTTGGTTTTTGTATGCTAAGTCACCAACTCCTAGGTTTTAATTGACTTTTTGTTACCAGGACATTCTAAAGAAATAATTTTTTATGACCCCTGAGAGGTCTGGCAGTCATTGCTTTTTTAAACATTGATTTGCATATTCAAACATTCACTCAAGCATGCATTGAGAGAGATTGGCCTTTGCCTGTGATGCTGAACATAGACCCTGTCTCATGCCTCCCTGCTTTTTGCCAGTGCTGCTCTCCTTCCCATGCCATTTGCCAGGTGGAGACATCTTCTCTTCAAAATGTCACTCAAACTTCACCTTCCCTGTGAAGACTTCCCTGAACCCTGTCATGCCCTGCAAAACACAGATAGGTCCTTCTACCTCTGAGATTCCCAACTTCAGGATGCTTTCGGCATCTGTCCCCTGCTCTACAGTAGTATATTAAGGCATGGATCTCCACTCAGGACATCTAATTATTTGAGGAGGCAGTACCACATGGTGTTACGGAAGACCATCTGATTTCTGATCCAGACTCAGCTTTCACATCGATAGAAGCTGTATCTCTTAGGTTGCTGGGGAAGCTAAATGAGATAGATGATCCTGGTAAAATGCTTAATACATGCCCTCAACTAGCACTAGCTATTTATATTCCTGGCCGTGCAGCTCCCCAGACTCCCTTTGACTATCTGTTGTGCGCAGAGAGCCGAGCACAGGCTGGTGAACCCTGGAGTACATAGTTCTCCACCCCAAGGAGACTGACTGCTCCCTATCCACTTGTATGGCCCCTGCTCTGCATGGGACAAGTGCCATTTGTTGTACTTGGCATGTTTTCCCCAACCTCTCTGTGGCATTTTGATTTTGTTGCCAGGGTTGACCCAAGCTGCACCTCCTCCCAAGAGTCCCCTGACCCACCCAGCCCGGGCATCCCACGGACTGAATTCCTGCAGCACTTACATGGGATGACTAATTGTCAAATTCTGTCTTTTCTCACCAGTTTGCTTCTCAAGTGTCTACCTCTGATCTCAGACTCATGGTGAGAAGCTTGGAGGCAGGGATTGTGCCAGATTCTCCTCTCTTCTCAGAGCATGGATAAGGGTTGTCCCACACTATCTTAGGGCCTCAGTCATCATAGATTCTGGGGCAGTCTTTCAGTTAATGCTTTTCTGTTGGCACCTTCCACTGTGCTGGGCACTGAAGTGCATCTGTGAACAGAGATGCCAAGGCCCCCCCAAGCCCCCCTGGGGCTCATCCTAGCCCAAGTTACAATCCAGTAAGTAAGTCAACAGGTGAATGAGGGCGGTAGTTCAAGAGAGTGTTAAATCCTGCACAGCACTTGTGTTGCAGAATGACTGGGGGTGGCAGCCTGCAGTTAGCCTCTCCTCCCATTACTCAGCAATCAGATACAGTCTTTTCTAAGGAGTGCTCTCTTGAACAGTCACTGGGCCAGAGGCTCAGCTATGGGAAAACGACAGGGCCTATTGTCAAAAACAGTTGGAAAATACATCCTACATATTTATTCCGTGTTAGAGCTACAAAATTTATATGAGTATATTAAAGACATTGATACTGCAGTAAAGACATTTCTATTTTGCTTAAGCTGGTATTTCCCAAACCCAAAACTGTTCTGCTAGAACTTTTTGTCTGTCTTCTAATATTTAGCACCCATTAACGTTGCCTGAAACCCATGCCTATGGAACAAACTTTGGGGTATACTGATGTTGAAGAATATTTATTCTCAGCAATGTTCTTATTTACATACCCCACAGAGAAGCTGGTCTACATGTCATTACCAAGCCATACAGTTTAGTCAAAGCAGAAGGAACTGCATTGAGTGAGCCAATAATGAACTTATTTTCTTAATTCAGTTTGATCTCGCCTCCTCCCAGCCCCCTAATCATTAAGCACCTACTATGTTCTAGTAAATGTTCTAGGTGCTGGGAGTAGAGGAGAAAGCAAAATACCATCATGGAGCTATCTGCATGTCTTGCTGGATGACGGCAGTTGTTTCCTCCCTGGCCTTTCCTACAATTTATTCTCTGCAGAACAGCCAGAGTGAACTGTTACAAGCTCAGGCAGATCACAGCACTCCTTCATTCAGTTCCCCGATGGCTTTTCACCTCATGCAGAGAAATAGCCAAAATCCTGTACAGTGATTTTGTAACTGAGCTGTCTGAACTCCAGCCACTGGCCACATGTGGCTTTTTAAATTAAAATGATTTAAAATTAAATAAAATGAAAAACTGATAGTGCACATTGCATGAGCCACATTTCCAGTGCTCCACCGTCACTTGTGCTAGGGGCAACTGTAGTGGCCAGCCCTGCTAGAGAACATTTCCATCCTTGTAGAAAGTACCGCTGGTCATGTAACGCCCTGTGAAATCTGGCGTCGGTTGCTATTCTTCTTGTATCTTCTACTGCTCTTGCCCTCAATCCCTCTGCTTCAACCCCAGTGCCCTCCATGTGGTTGTCCCACACTCTAGACCCAGTCCTACCTATCTTTCTGCTCCTTCCTCTTTCTGGCGCGCTTCCCCCACCCCCCCCCCCCCCATGGCTACCTGGCTCATTCCCTTGCCTCTTGTACTTCTTTTCTCCTATGTTACCTTCTCAGTGATGATGCCCTTGTGGCTGCCTCGGTTAAGATAGCAATGCCCACCTCTAATCTTACCTTGCCCTATGCACCACCTTATTTTTCCCTTAGCGTTTATCACCATCTCAGGCACATACCCTTTACACATTTGTTTCTTGTTCGTATATTCCACGAGGGTAGAGACTTTTGTCTGTTCTGGTTCCCTGCTGCATCCCAGTGCCTAGGATAGTGCTTGGGACATAGCAGGTGCTTGATAAACATTGTGGCTGAAGCAAGGAGCTTTATGAAGAAAGATATAACAACAACCACCCAATAACAACAATGTAAACAGATACAGATTTATGATGTCAGGTAGTGATAAGTTTCACAGAGAAAAAAGGAAGCCACATAACATGGAAAGTGTTTGGTCACCATTTTTAATAGGGAAACAGAGGCTCAGGAAAGTTAAATAAATTGCCCATGATCGTATTCACAATGGACCAGCCAGGATTTGAACCTACATCCAGTGTGGTGCCGTTAATATCTAACAACTGGCTCTCCGAAGAAAAGATAAAGTGCTGGGTTGCAGTGTTCGCCTATTTCCGTGGTGTAAATACTCCCACTGTGGCTGATTTTAAATGACCAACATGATGTCAGTGACCTTGGAGTTGGAAAGAGATGCCTATAGTCTGTTCCCCCAAGCTGTGCAAGTTCCAGTGAACCACTGCATCTGAACTTGAGGTCCAAGCCCAGCCCACTGTATCACGTGGCCACTCCTGGGAAGAAGCAAACAGACCCATCTGAAGAGTCCCCACTGTCCCAGACCACACTCTGTGATCACTGGCTCTTTCTGTTACCTCCGTCTCCCCAAACCAGTTGGGTTTACAGTTGACCTGTTTGAATGATGGCATTTTCCTCCTAAGAGGATCATGCTTATTTGACTTGACAGAAAAGTTGCTCTCAGAGGATTCTTGTCTCCATGTTAGCCTTTGAAATTACTGCCTAGATGGTACAGGCAATCCTGTTGGACCTCTGGGGCCTGGGTGGACTACTTTTTAATTGATAATTCCATGTTTCTGTAATAATAGCCTGCCACGTCATATGTGATGATTGCTAATTTAGGTTTTCAGGCTTCCTGGATGTAATGAGCTCTAATAAGCCGAAGACTTGTCACAGACTCAGGAAAGCCCATTTCCCCCCTTGAAGCAATGATTTTCCTCAATCCCTGGACACAATTGGGCATACTCTTAAAAATATTAATAAGTGTGACTGGGATGTTCACCCCTTTCCAAATAAAACATAAAGTCCCGGTTTCATTAAGCCAAGCTATTAAATTAAGAAAGTGTTTTTAATTATCTGAGCATTTCAGGGAGCTCATAAAACATTTAAGGACCTCATAGGGGTGGTGCTGAAGCCCTTTCAGAGTGAATTAGAGCCTTGACTTCTGGAGCTGGATGGGAAGGGCTGGGAACCCACAGCCATCTGGCCCAGAGCATCAACCTGCTAGAAGGGACGAGGCTGCAGGTCTTACTGTTTGGGTGGTGGGTGTGCACTTGTGTCCAAGCTGCAGAGGAAAGCAGATCGACTTCTCATAGTAAAGAAACATTTGAACAAACAAAACTGGACAAACATTTCCTAGCACTTCCTTTGTGCCTGGCTCTCCACTGGATGCTGAGGTTTCAGAGGATGCTCCTGCCTTCCGAGCAGTCTCTTAGGTGCTCAGCACTCAATTTATATTCTCTCCTGCCATCCTGATAAAAGCCCTGTGGGTTTTCTCTTATCATCCCCATTTGACAGGGGAGGAAACTGAGAATTGAAATTACCCCTGATAGGGAACTAGTGAAGCCAGATCCTTGGGAGAGCGCCGGTCCCGTCTGACCCCAGGCCCATGTAGCTCACACTGATGGGCAATCTGTACTCACACTCTCCTGCCACAAAATAAGAACTACCATCATTGTCATGATGGAACAATTCATACCCTTTGTCTAGGGTGCCAGGCACAATGCTATGCCGTCTGCATAGCTTGTCTGATTTAATCCTAACGATCCTATGAAATTATTAGTCCCTACATGACAAATGAAGCAATTGAGTCATGCAGAGAGGTCAAGGAGGTTCTGCAA